TTTTTTTTTTTATAACTCTTTGAAAACGAAAAAAACCATTCTAAACTGCCAGGCAGTAAAGAAGTGGGCTACAGGCCCAATGTGGCATGCAGGCCATAGTTTGCTGACCCCTGTATTAAATAAACATACAGAAGTGAATGGGTGCATTCTATTTTGTTTGTTTTTCTTTGTCGGGGGGGTGGGGAACAGCTGGTCATGGTCAGTACCATGACTGAACCACGGACCTTGGTCCTACCAGCACCACAATCCAACCAACTGAGCTAACCAGCCAGCCTGGGTGCATGCTATTTTTGAAACTGCTGTGTTGAATTGCAGTAAAGCACAAATGAAGCATGTCAGTGCTATCCACTCATATACATGAGAGGCCATTCCAATCAAGCCTGAAAACCTGAACCACAGCCCACAGTCTACTTGCTGACTCCACATCAATCTGCAGAAGAAAAAGTATGAACCTCTCTGAAAGGTCCACACTAAGTCCTCCTTATCGTCACCACCACCACTATGAAGTAGCCAAGCCTTCAACTTTAGATTCATATTTCCCACTTTAAAAAAAACTTCAATACCGTCACCACTAATGTTGACATCATGATGCTCTTGACAAACTTCTGGACTCCAGATTTCCAGTCTTGTCCAACCTGCCAGGCCCACTGCTTGTAAGACATTGACTTTTTAAAACTACACATTTGCGTGGGAAACTCTGTTCTTCCAGGTGGCTAACTGCAACATATTCCTACAACCTTGTGCACTCAAAAACTTCTCCTTCTCTATATCTAATGCTGACCATGTTCTGCCTTGGCCATTTGCAACAGAGTCGGGATTTGCAACTCTATGACAAGAGGCTATTTGGTGAAATCTCCTCTACCAAGCAGGATGGGATGGGCCCATGGAATGAGAGCTGTCTATGCTCAGTGACAGGCAGTCACCTTAGTGATTGCTGGAACATACCATTCCTCTTGGCCTCAACATAATCTTAAGGTGCCGAGAGTGCAGAGAGAACTTGATCCTTTTGAGGAGAGATGATTTTTGCCTTTCAATGAACTGTGAAATTGTGGAACACCTTCTTACTTGGTTTTATCTACTGGCTGTTGATTTTAGCAGCTGTCGCTAATTGCTACACTGACCAGACTCCTTCCTCTGGGTGAACGAAGAAACAAATAATGCAACTAAACAAAGCCTTTCCTAAGCATACAGAACAACGTCAAGGTTTTGCCTGCTGAATTGTCCTTTGATTTTAATTTACTGACTGAAAGCAAGAAATTTTGTCTTCCTGATTCCAAAGAACCCTACATCTATTAATCTGACTTGTTCTATGAGATAACACAGAAAAACAATTCAGATGTGGTGTTTGCTATTAAGGTAGAAAATGACTGCAATAAGTCAAACTGTTGGGTTTTAAGCCAAGGGGCCCAAGGCCATCTCCCTTTTGGCGAATTAGAAAATGCAGAAAAGTGAATTATACAAGCTATTTTGCTATTGCAAAATAGTTCTCTATTTTAAAATAAAGAGTTTTTAAAATACATATAAAATATGTATTTTTAATGCTGATAAATTGTTACATGGCCCTTTTGCATTTTTTTAAGAAATACAATTTATCTCACTGAGAACTAAGACAAATTGTATAATATGAACTCAAAAAAAAATTAGGGTTGGAGGAAATATATCTGTTGTGAAGATATGTGAATCAAACCATAAGAAGATGTGAAGGAAAAGTAACTGATGAAACTTCTGATAGAAGGATGAGGTAAGGGGATGACAAAAAGACATTAGGGAAAAATGTAGAATCCAGCATCTACGTACCTTACTTGTATCAAGCAAACTCCCCTAGACAAGTCTGAACACAATGTGCAAGGGAATTAAGGGGATTTATAAGAGTGGTGCATTCCAAAAAATGTTGCTGTTTAGATGGAAAGCTTATGATAGTCAACCACAAAGTGTTCTCTAGAAAAACATGTCAAAACTGTTTCCTTCTATTGCTAAGAGAATATAATCTTTTCACTACATAACAATTGTGAGATCTGTTGCTAGTAGTAGAGAGAACATTCAGACCTTGTATGCCTGAATATTCTCTTCCAACTATTCTTGGAACACTAGCAGCAAAGATTCTCTAGCAGATCGCTGATTTTTTCCACAATTCCATCCTTGTCTGGAATTAGTAACATCGCAATCTACCTGTATGCCAAATATGACTACAACCCCTGTTAGAAGATAATCTTCTGAAAGGGAACTAGTACACTTTCCTTTCTTTTTTCCTCTCACATCCGAGCATCTGCAACAGTGCCAGAAATACAATAAGTATTCAGCAGATTTCTATTGAGAATGAACGAATTCCACATGATTCCTTTTTCTTCAACAGTAGAGCTATACAACTGCAAAACAGTATTGGTTTATAAAAGAAAATTCGAACAGCATTGGCAGTCTTTTCTCAAGTCCTACGTGACAGTTGTTAACAGGCTTTTGAAGATAAATGAATTAAGATTATATAGGCTAAAAAGAGCAAAGGTTATTAGCTAAGCCTTACTTTGGAGTCATTTCTTTTTCATGAAATCTGTGTGACCCCAATCTCTTGTAAAGAAATAACTTCAACCCTCCTTTGTGCTCTGACTCTTCCCTGGTATTATGACATCTATTATAGATGTTTACAATATCTATAATAATTACTGCTTTTAGGTAATGTGTACCTCTGTATGCTTCCAAAGGCCTGCTACATAATAGGCATTCGATAAAGCCTGTTAAATGAATACAAGTTATAAACAAATGTGTGCTTTCCTGCACAATTTCCACACGGACTGGGTGTTTTATCCTCATCTTTATAAAAACATAGTAGAATGCATACCTGTCCTCTTTATTGACTTGAGAATAATATGATCTCTGTCTGATCGCAGAATAGAAGGAGAAAGCCTCATTCAGATAGCTGGTCTCAGACGTGCGTAAGCTATGAGGAAAAAAATTTTTTTTAAATATAGCAGTGCCTAAAATGCCTCAGCATCATAAATACTTGTTCCACATTACCCTGTTTCTGTACATGAGAGAATGGGAATGACTCTCCTAAATTTGAATCAGTAAGGCAATAATCATATTGACCTTAAAATTTATAAAAATAATAATAATGATAATTTAAAAAAATACCCCCCACTGCTCCCAAGCCATTTTTTATGCCAACCCAAAGTACACATTATTCTCAGGCTTCAGAGGGACTCTCCAAACAGCACTCCACCCAATTAAGTCTTTCCCCCCAGGACTAGACCCTTTATGACCTTCCCCAAATCCATACAGCCTCTTGTCCTTTGGCCAATTTCTTTAGTTTTTTTCCTTGCCAAATTCAGAAACAAACTAATCCACATGAGTTGTGTTCTCTGCTTAACATTTCTAGTTTTACAAGGGACTTTTAAAGAAACTATTCTACCCAAGAGAGTGAGTTCAATGGTAGGAATTCTGGATGGCATGGCAAAATTTAGGAAGAGGAAGAAATTTCTTTGCCTTTTAAATTACAAATGGTCCAAACCTTTTTTTATTGTATACCTGATATCACTTCATGATAATGAGATTCAGATTCCTAAAAGGAGCTCTCTTCTTTCCTTAACTCAAGGGTAGAACTTTATAGATGTTGTTGATCTAAGGACATAAAAGTATCTTTACTTACCTCATGTAACCTTTCAAACATATTCTACAAGTATGAGGGTTTTACAGGGGCTGGCCAGTATGGAGATCAAAACCTGAACTTTGGCATTATCAGCACCATGCTCGAACCAGCTGGTCTGAACTATTCAGTCTGGTCTGAACTATTAGGGTTTCATTTGTAACTCATTGTTTTCCCTCCTAGCAAATGAGTATACTATGAATACCTCTGCGTGCTGTGTTTTATTCACGACAACACTATATTCTTTCCACGCCCAATTCACTTACTAATAATGGTAGTATAGCTGCCCAATCTTTGAAGCAATTTCCCCTATTTGCCATCGCTTCAAGCCATACCGATTATCCAAGACTTGTCTGTTTCATACAGGAGACAAGAAAATAGAAATAAGAGACAATAAATTTCAAAAATAACCAAACAAAATACCCTCCAATTCAGCAAGCTTTTGAATTTTTCATAAGACTTCAACTAATCATTCAATTTCTGTAAATTCAATAGTATTAAATACCCTCCAATTCAGCAAGCTTTTGAATTTTTCATAAGACTTCAACTAATCATTCAAT